TGAACTTTACCCTTCGGTGGAGTCGGAATGAGCGGAATGGGAGCCTATCACGGACAATATTCATTCGATACTTTTACTCATAAAAAAGGAGTTTTAAAGAAAAAATTTGGAGCCATCGCTAATTCTCTTACGAGGTAGGTACTACCCCCCCCCCCTTCCTTCATACGAAATACTTTAAGAAAATTATTATCATTATCATTATTTTTTTGTTTCAGTAAAAGATATCCGCCTTATTCGGAGTCGAAAATAAATTTTTTGAAAATGCTCATGAAAAAAAGAACATTTTACGGTCTGGGGTCAATAACTAAATATTTCCCTTACGTAGTCGTATTCGGTTTAGGAGTCGGTTTCACATTAGGCTTCAATGCTTATCATCTTTCAAAGGTACGTCAGGTATAGATTATTATCACGTCAATTGAATTTTGACATTATTTTATCGATACGTAGTAGTTGGGAAAAAATATTTTAAATTAAAAATAATTTCATTTTTTAAATAAATAATTGATAAAATTATAGGTAAGACAAAGAAATAAAGATTAACGGTTATTCTTCTAAATGAAGTTTAAAATATATGATTGATTATCGAATTTAGAATCACATTAAAATGCTAACCTTAAAAAGTAGAAAACGAAATTAAGTTATTGATTATCGATTATTGATTATATTGTGTAAAAAACTAAAACAAACGCGAACGGGTTAATTTGCTTTGGGCCATTTCTTATTTATAGTACCAATTCAACAGTCATTCTGATATCATTGCGAGTATTATTTTCTATATTTAAATTTATCATAATTTGGGCCATTTTGTTTTCAGATATTCAATTTATTATTAAATTTTTGTTTTTCTTTTTCAAATTTTCAATATGCGATCAAATTGATGATTGCATTTGTTTAATCGTATTGTGACTAACATTTACTTAACATTTATATGAAACTTGTATGTAATTTTGTAACTAATTTTTCTTATTTCTTTAATTCTTATTAAATATCTACATATATATTGCATTTGAAATTATTTAATTTTTACTGTTAATGTGTTATTTACTCGACAATTTAAAAAAAAAAATTAGTTGAAATGAATAAACTTTTATAAGCATCACATTGTTAATATTATTTTATTCTTCTGGTTCAAGTTTAGTTTTTTTTCTTTCATGTCACGATATTAATAGTATCAAATATTTTCCCTAATTTAATTCTTTAACGAATGTTGACAATATTTTAGATACCAATACGATCTTTTTTAATATTTATAAGAGCTTAAAAATTTGTTCGTTGAAAAATACAAATTGAATAGAAAACATTAAAAAGTAAAAAATTTTCAAATAATTCAAATAATAGTAATTAATATAACTTAAAAAAAAAAATAATGGTAAACATTTTGAAATTCGAAAATGGTTTTTGAAAAAATTAAGGTACTTTGTTCAAACGAAAAAAAAAAAAAAAGTTTTGGTGTTGTAAATGTCATTGTTTAACATCGGTGTATGTCTTACATATTTGTCAAATGATTCCAACACTTTTATTTAATTAAATGGACTGTACATAATTCATTTCTGTCAATATGATTACTCTCACTTGGTGTTTTATTATTTGCAAAAGATTTACGTTAATGTTAATTAATTGGGAAACCGTTAAAATTTTTTTAAAGTAAAACTTAGGTTATGATTTATGAGTAAAGCAAAAAGTAAAAATGAACAATAACTCATTTTCAAATTTTAAATCCTCGAGGTTTTTACTTTATGCTTTTTTTAAATAGTTATTTTTAAGAATTAATAATATTTTAAATCCCTGCCCCATTATAATAATAATAATATAATTTTTACCTGTTTTAAATTGAATTAACTCCATAATTTTCATCAGTTAACGTTACTGTTTGACATTTGAAATTCACTTGTACGTTACTTTTATTTCACAGGAATATGATACTGATTGAAGAGAAGTCTAGTGGCGAGAAAATGAACTTGCAACATTTTAAAATTGGCGGGTTTTTTTTATTTTTTGAAATTTTTTCCACGTGTTTATGTTTACAATAAGAAATTAAGTATTGTTAAAGTTTTATTTTTATTTATGTTATGTACGACATTATTAAATGTTAATAAATTGTTAATATTATTAAAGTGGCTTAAGTATTTATACATAAAAATATATATTATTTACACATATATATATACAATAATAATAATAAATTTAAAATTGAAAATATATAATACACATATATTAAAATAAAATAAAATTTTTATTTTTTTAATATTTCACGTTGTTAAATTTATGTTAAGTCCTATTACAATAAAATTTATATATGTATGCATATTTATTAATTATGGATGATAATAATAATAATAATTTTTCAATGTTACGTATATTTTTAAAAAAACCACGTGTAAAAAATATGACGTAAGAAAAAGAAGAAGAAGAAGTAGTTTGTAAAAGTGAATAATAATAATAATAATATATAACCTGTTCAGTCTAGTTGAATTTTATAATTTTTTTAGATAATAAAAATGATTAAAAGAATTTAAATTATGTTACTTTGTGAAAATAAAATATATAATATATATAAATTAATTACAATGTTACGTTTTACTATTAAAAAAAAAAAAAAAAAACCTGTTTTATTTTTTTATAAAATTTTTTTATTTAAAAAATCAAATAATTAATTTTTTTTTATACAATATACCGAATAAAAAATTAATATTTATTATTATTATTATTATTATTTACACGTTATATTTTTATAAATCTTAACTAATTTAAATTGAATCCAATAAGAAAGTCAAAAATTTAAATAACAAAAAAAATTTTTTTTTTGTTTCCAATTCAAATAAAATATAAAAGAGTATTATTATTAAATATGTGCATATTTTTCTAAAATTATAAACAAAACTAATAAAAGAATTTATTTATTGTTAAACTAAACTAATTTAAAATTTTATAAATCTCTTTAAAAATTAATAATAATAATAATAAGAGTCAGGTAAACTACAATCGATCGATTTTTCACATTTTACTTGAAATAAATTTCAGTTATTGTTTATTAATGATTTTTTTAAACATACAAAAACGAATAATATAATAATTTAAATTATAAAAATTATCATAATTATTATTATTATTATTATTATTATTATTATTATTATTATTATTATTATTATTATTATTATTATTATTATTATTTACATTTTTATTACACATACGAAGAAATATTAAATTATTTTTTTTTAAAAATACTGTTTATCGTTTTGTTTGTTTTTGTTTGTTTAGCCTTTCTCTAAGTTGGAAAGATTAAAAATCAGTCTTTTTTTCATACAAATGAGTAAAATTTAAAATTTAAATTTAAAATTTAAAAACAAGAGACTCATTTAACTTCACGCAATTCTCTTTCATCTGAATTTTGACTACAACTCGTCACCGATGATAATAATTTTTTATTCCATGCGTGATTAATATCTCCGGTATCGTTTAAATTTTTATCCGGTTTGTGTAATTTTTTTTCATCCGAGGATATATTTCTACTCGAGAACCTTATCTATAGTTTAAGGGGAGTTGATTAATTAATTGAAAAAAAAAGAAATTTTTCATTCTATTTTAATTACAAAAACATACCAAAAAGGCAGCGACACATAAACCTAATATCGAACCACCGAGTATGTCCCACCAGTGATGTCGGCGATCCGTAAGACGGCTTAAACCGCAAAAGAGTCCCCATGAAAAAAATATGCATTGAAAAAATGCAACCGTTATTTGATGACGACGTGGAATTTTTATTTGTAAAAACCACTGACAAAAAAAAAAAAAAAAAAACAAAATGATAATGATAATAATGTAGTATTAATTAATATGAACACCTTTATTTATTTATTTATCTCTTTAGTTTTGTACAAAAAAAAAAAAAAAAAAATTGCATGAATGAATGAACTTGAACTTGAACCTTGATTCAATACCTTGTCAAATAATAATAAATTTGATTAAATATAAGAAAAAAATTGACATAATAATAAAAACATGTATTAATAATTTTTTTTTTTTAACTTTTTAAATAAATTAATAAATACTTACAATCATAAATAATGCCATATACATTCCCATAGCTGCATGCCCGGATGGAAATGAACGAAGTGAATCATACATCATTTGTTTTGGTATATTTATATTTGTACATTTGTATTCAAAAAAAAATCTTTAAAAATAAAATAATAATTTATTTTAAGTCTACTTTCTTCTTCTTTCTTTCAAATTAAATATTTAAATAAAAAAATAAAAAAAAATGTTTCCAAAAGCTCATTTACAAAAAAAAATTTGATTTAAATCATAAATTAACAAAACAAGTTTTTTTTATCATTATTATTATTATTTATTACTTACTCTGTTGTGCAATTAATTGCTTTATCTGGTTTACAGGTGTCGAAAAAATGCGGTCTAGGTGCTGCTATTAAACATTTTGATGCTTGTATTAATAAAATAAGAAAAAAAAGACCAGAATAATATTTTTTATACCAATATTGTGATTTTTTAAAAGGATTCATTTTTTTTATCATTGGAAAATATGTTTGTTCCGTTGAATTAATTGCAATGGATTCGATTAATAAAATCTGTAAAACATTTCAATTGTTATTTATATATAAAATTTAATAATGTTTACGTTATTATTATTATTATTATTATTATTATTATTATTATTATCACTCACTGCTATCAAAGGTACTCCGATTGATACGACAAATAAGTACGTGATCGTTATTGTATCTCCATTAAATGGATGTGATAAATTTGGATCCTTACATTGAAATCCTAAATTTTGTATAGGTACAACTAAATATTCAAATGCAACTATTAATACCGCCACTGAAAACAGAGATAATAATAATAATAATAATTTTAAAATAATTTTTTTTATGACTGAAACATATTAAGTGAGTGATCACACTTTTCAAATGAATATTTATAAAAAGAGATATAATTTTAAATTTAATAGTAATAAAATTTAATTTAATTTAATTTAATTTAAAAAAAAAAAAAAAAAGTAATAAAAAAGTTATTTATTCTATGATAATAACTATTATAGGAGTGCAATTTGAAAAATGGAAAAAGCCGCGAAAATATTTCCACGTTTTTTAAATAAAAAAAAAAGTTGTCGTCGTTTATTAAAAAAAAAAATCACAAAAAGGTTATTTATTTAATGATTTCTATAATTTTATTTCGTTTACATAAAATTATATTTATTTAATTCCCCCCTTCCTCCCATCATCGAATTTTTGTAAAATAATATTTTTTGATTAAAATGTCGATTTAATTTCAAAAAAAAAAATGCCGACGAAAGCCGGTTAGAAAAAAATCGTTCAAGTTAATTTAAAATAAAATTTTTATAAATTATATTTAATAAATTTTGAATAAAAAACTTACGTAACCAATATTTTAAATAATAATATTTCATTTTTTAAATTAAAAATTAAACTAATTTCATTTTAACACTGCAATGAATCAGCTGATTTTGATGAAAGAAAAAAAAAAAATGTTGGCAACATTGATTCGATGACGTTTTCCTCTCACTCTTTTCAAATTAAACCAAACAAATAATATCAAAACGTTACAAGTTTTAAATGAGCTAATAATTTTTTTTTTTTTTAAAGAATATTTATAATTGTGAAATCATAAATATAAATAAATAAAATTTTAAATAATAGTATTTTGAAAGGTATTTTTTTAACGTAGGAAAACAAACAACTCGTCATCGGATTGTGCAACAATGGCGGATTTTAAATCCGTTGTGTGAATTTTTCCTGACATAAGAATTTATTAAAAACGACGACGACGACGACGACGACTTATTTAAATTATGAAATTTTTTTTCTTTTTTTCTTAACACGTCACAATTGATTTGAAAAATAATTTGAAAAATTATTGAGAATTTAAAATTTTTTTTTAAATATAAATTCTTCCACACGAATATTATTAATTTACTTTCATTTTTATTTTTTTTTGTTTTTCAAGTTTTGGTAACTTTTGTTTACATTCTACGTCACACTATTTACATGTTGCATAATTTCCCAATGTTTTTTTTTTCCGTTACGTCTTCCATTTTATTTATTTATTTAAATAATTATCTAATATTTACGTAAAAATTTAACGAGATACATTTATTTATTTATTTATTTATTATTAAACAATTAATTAATAAAATATTAAATCTATGTATCTGTGTGCGTACGCAAAAACTTGTAAAAAAAAAAAAAAAAAAAAATTAATAAAAAAAAATTTACGATGAAAATTATTTGGTTTTAATTTTACGTTATAAATAAATAATTTTTATTTATTAATATTTAATTTATTAAATCGTTTTATTATTAATCTATGTGTTCGATATCGTAAACATATCAAATTTAAAATTAGTTTTTATTATTATTAAATTTTTTATTTATTTATGTGTGTGTGTGTAAATATTTCTAAATATTTATCCGGATGTAAAAAAAACTCAAATTTTTTTATTTAATAAACAAAACATATGTTTTTCTCATTATTATTATTATTATTATTATTATTATTATTATTATTATTATTATTATGTTTTCATATCGGATATTTAAAAATAATAATAATAATATATATAATTTAAGCAATCTTGTAAATTTAAATAATTAAATTAAAAAATTTTAGATATATATTAATAATAGAAAAGAAAAAATCATCGTGTCAGTAGAAAAGCAATAAATTAAAACTAAAGATAATTATCAAAAAAATATTTTTAGTAAAAAAAAAAAAAAATCTCGTTAGAGGATAAAAAATTTATTAAAAAATTTTCAATAAAATTTATTTAGACAAAAAATGGCTGACGTGTAAAAAAAAAAAAATTTAATATTTTTATAGACTTATATAGTATATATAAACCACGATAATAATAATAATAATAATTTTTTTTTTGCCGTACGTAAAATATATAAATCACTAAGATAATGTTTTATAAAAACAAATTTTTTTTGTGTTAAAAAAACGAGGGAAAAATAAATGTTTTTGACAAGTGGGGAAGGAAGAAAGGAAACAGGTAGTTGTTGTTGTTGTTGTAAAATGATTGATGGACGTTAACATAAAGAATCCTTGTTGAATCATAAAAGATCCGATAAATTAAATTTTTTTTTTCTCTCTCCATTTTGCTTTTGATATTTTTTTATGTAAAACGATAAATTTATTAAAATTGATTTGATTACAATTGAAATCATTAATTACGATGATTTTTATTAAATAACGATTTCACTAATTATTATTTAAACATAATTCTTTCGTAAAAAAAAAATTCGTTAATAATTTATTTATTTATTACGGATCCATACGTTTGTTGTTTGTAAGTATGAAATTAAATAATAATAATAATAAGATTTATAACTTTTTAACAATTATTCAATAATAAACAAATCGTTTGAAAATAAATTACACATGTCGTATCATTTTTTTTTTTTTCATAGGATTCGGGTAATAAATTTTGTAGGGAAGAGGAGGAGAAGGTTTTTTTTCTATTTTTATGTTTCCGGTTAAAAATCAAATTTAAATTTTATTACGATATGTGTTGTTGTCAACGTGTCAAAAAGTCACTACGAATTAAATAAATACATGGGGTACTTTGTAATGATATAAAATCGTAAAGCACCACTCATTATTATTATTATTATTATTATTATATCATGGATTTAATGATAGGAACACATAAAAAAAGGTTTTTCAAACTCGTTTTCGACACAAAAAAATTTCAAATTATTTATTTTTTGTTAAGCAATACTTATTTTTTTCGAAACAAACAAACAAACAAACATAATTCTGTCATTGTTCTTGTAAATAAAATTTCATTGTCTTCTCTCTCTCTCTCTCTCTATCTCTCTCTCCTGTATGTTACACAATCTAGCATTAAGTTAGTCTATATATATATATATGAAGAGAATTTTTGACCCTAATAGAAATTAAATCAAGGTCAGAGGAAGATTTAATCAAAACAATTCAATTTTTTTTTTTTTCTTATTATTATTATTTTCAAACCATCATTCACCGTTTTATGACCCCTTTCATTATTTTCAAACGGAATTTATTATCATCATCATTATCATTATTATTATTTTACAAATATATTTTTTTCAAATATCGTATTGTAATGTGAATTTTTTTTTTTTTATTTTCGACCGAACGAAATTTTTTAGTTTAGTTTAACCTTTGATCTTTTTGAGTCAAGTCATATCCTTTAAACTCTCTTTTGCATCGTAAAAAAATTTTTATTAATGAATTTAAAATGAATTAAATTTTTAATACATCGTACCTGTCATTCATTTATACAATAATAATAATGATAAATGATTGGTTTTTTTTTTTTACATAATAATAACACGTGCGAATTTTGTTTTTCTTTTCTTATTTAAATAATTCTTCGTTTCATTTATGTATTTTTTTTTTTTTAAATAATATATAAATCGACGAACTCAAATAAATTTTTTTGAAAAGTTAAAAAAAGATAAAATGGAGAGTAGAAAAATTTAAAGTTAAACTTATTAAAGTTGCCCTGTCGTAATTTAAATTAAAATAGTATTCGATGATACCCACATCATCATCATCATGATAGTACATAAATGGGCGTTAAATTTTTCGTTATAAAAAAAAAAAAATTTTTATTTTGCTTGAGGAGCCGGCAAATGTTTTCAAAACAAAAAAAAAAAATTTTTAAATCTAATGGAAATCTGTGTAATGCGTTTTGTGTAGTTTTTTTCTAAAAAAAATTTGTGATTTAAAAAGTTTACAACTTCAACTTATTTTTCAATTCGATATAACTTATTATTATTATTTATATTAAATATAATAATCTTATAAAAAACAATTTTCGAATTTAAATAAATATTTGATACGTTTTTTTACTTTCATTCGATTGAAAAAGTTTTATTTAAAAAAAAAACCGTTTTGGCAGATTTCATTTTTTTTTTTTTATTAACGGGAAATGAAATAGTCCGTGAAATGAAACAAACAACTAAAAAAAATTTTTCAACAGATTTTAAATTAATAAATCACTTTCTAATTATTGCGTTAGTAAAAATTTTTTATGGAAAGGTGTTGTTGTTAATAAACCTTTCAAAATGTTTTTTTTTTCTATCGCCACGACATTTTTAAAACAAGATTTTTCGTGCCGCCAAAAAAGCAAATTTATTTTATCAAATGAAATATTGTCGTCGTCATTAAATAAAATCTTTAAAAATATTTATCAGGGAGTCCATTTTTTTTTTAAAAACCTTGCAAGAACCAAATTTAATATGACTAACGAAACAAAAAAAGGGGGGGGAGGGTAACGAAACCTTTTTTTTTTTGGCGGTTATTTTAGTTTCTGACCCAAAGTTCAAAAGGTGATATTAAAAAAAAAAAATTAAAATACCTGACCGAAAAAATAAAATAATCCCGTCAGGCATAATAAAACAAAAAAAAATATTGCAAATGATTTGAAATAAATAGAACACGAAAAACATTTCATTGTTTGTAACAACATAACCTCCTCATAATTAAAATTTATTAAATCCTACGCCTTTTGTATGAGGGGTTCTTCCCCTCAACTTATAAACATTTTTAGATTTAAATTATTATTGAACTTAATATCTTTTCACTCACTAGGTTAATTTTTAATGTTGTTTAATATGTGTGGGTAAATGTTTGCTACAAAAACTTATCGTAATATTCATTTTTTTTATCTTTGCACGCACACGCACAAACACACGCACACACACTAGAAATTATGCCAAAATAAAAATAAA